AGCTAATCTTTGTCTAAAAATGTTATGGTGTAGTAACTCCTCAATTTTCATGCATTCAGGTGAGCATAACTTTGATTGCTACTGGGCTCAAACGGCAGGATGAACAGGAAGGACGGAATTTACAGGTCGAATCCATTGTTAGCGTCCATATTGATTTTGCAGATCATGGTACCTTCCTCTGACAATTTTTTTCTTATATGTGAATTAAGGGAGCCCAACTGGGTCATGGAGACAACCTTGGGATGAAACGACGCTCGAACTCTCGTAGTACAGAAGGCGGCATTGTGGAGATTCCCGAGTTTCTGCGGAAGAAAGTCCACTCCCGGAGCCCAAGATTTTGACATGTCCATAATCCCCTCTTTTAGTCATCTGAATTCCCACATGTGAAATCCTCGCCACTGTAGTAATCTGTAGTCAGTTCTGCATCACACCAGTCTTGTTTCCAGTACTTTGTTTCGTATAGCTGAGATAAGTAACATGTGTGGTTCTTTAAGGTGTTCCAAGGACAGTGATGCTGTGTTAGAGTAATCACATTGGCCTCATCGTCATGACGATGCAGCAGCTTCTCCTCCGGTTTCCAACTCATAATAGCAATGGCGGGTAAGAGTAATCACTGCTTCAAGACTGTTCTGCAGAATGACAGAACATGCAAAAACAATTTAGATAGTTGAATGAAATGGTCTGTAGAAGCTAATAGTGCTTCATGTTTTTAGATTGGTTTTTGGCTCTCTAAATCTCCAATCGATATAGGATTAATTGAGATCTTATCAGTGAGAAATAATAATAATATAATTTAGTAATTATTCGATATGACCATTTGCCTTCCAATAATATTTTTGTTTGTAATTAGAAGAAAACAACATATCTTTTGGGTGAGGCAGAGAGAAGAGGGTCCGATATGCGAAAAAAAATAATGAGTTGGGGGCTGATGTGTGAATAAATTAAATATTGGTACTAATACGTGTAAAAGGCCAAAATAAAGGGAGGAGGGGGGGGTCTCGAGCGCGATTGCAAGCTCAACCCTCGATTTGAGCCCATGGATTCGACGGCGGTGAGGAGAGCCCGCGGTGGGGGCGTGTGGGAGGGACTTTACCGCCTCCTCATGCGACGCAACTCCGTCTACGTCACCTTCGTCGTCGCTGGTGCCTTCGTTGGAGAACGGGTCCGGTTCCCCCCTTCCCCACCCTCTTGTATAATCTGTGATTTGCGTTAGGGTTGCGATCTTGTTCGATCTGTCTCCTTTGATTTCTTCTCGTTCGAGGTCGGGTAGGGTTTCCCCATATGGATCTGAACCAAAGGCTGTGATTGATCTCTGTTTAGGTGTTATCTTCGTTGACACGCTTGGTTTCGATATGCTCGATCGCGATTGTTCATCTGAGCAATCACAGCCATCGTTTTCTCTCACTGCTTTTGCTTGATTCGATGTATGCCGTTGTGGCAGATCATGAAAAGCCAATAAAATCATGTCAGAGAAATAGAAGGGAGAAGGCAATGAAACCAGTCAGTGTGAATCAAGAACATCTAGAACTGTGAGGATAGATAGGCTTGTTAAATTGCTTCTTTCTTTTCCACTTAGGGATTGTGTAGTGAGTTGGTGGAAATGATATAGTTTTTTTTTTTTTTGGAGCCTTGTTGTTTTTGGTGATTGCTAATCTCGATATCCTTTTTCATCAAAAGCGACATCTTGAATGCTTCATCTGTACTCACAAACTGGCTATTGTTTGCAGGTCGTCGATTATGGTGTTCACAAGCTTTGGGATTATAATAATGCAGGGGTAATATATCAGAACCTAATAAAATCTTTAACTACTTGAGTGACCGTTGTTTCCATCTGTCTTTATGGGTTGCATTCAGTTGATTTAATTATACACCGGGTATTAAAATTATTTTCTATGCTTTGGGGAATTTTTTTGACAATGGTGGTTGTTTCATTATTGTGAAGCTCTTTTCGATAGGTAGTGTTTCTATTGGCTATTGTAAAACTTATTCCTATGCGCGATGTTAGATATGATCATGGGACTCAATTTAAGTTGATGTGTTTAGAGGTCGAGTTGCTTTGTACAGCATGACAAGAAACATATATCCTAGTGACTGAACATTGGAAATCTAACATCATAATGATGTATTTGGGAGTATTCTTCATGATTCACATGCCTTCAGATTGTTCTACAGTTGCATTTTTGCCATTTTTGCTATTGTGTTATCTATTTTTCACAAGTTGTGTGGGTGTGTGTGTGTGTGATATCAGCATCAAGCAGGAAATTGCACAGCAGCGGAATTAGTTTTTTCCCCCCCTTCTATGGCTTTTTTTCTTATGCTTATTTATGGTTGTTAGAGATGAATTAAGAATATCCTAATTCTTGACTGTAAAATGCATCCAGAAGTTTTTGCAAAAACCTGTAGACAGACATGACAAAGTGATTGTACATTTTCTTTCGTTTACAGAAGCATCGTTGTTTCAGTGATTATGAAGTTATTAAACTGGTAAGGAATGAGACCATAATAGTGGATCATGCTAAAGCGGTTTGCTTATCTGCTATCATATGCATGCTAAGTTTACCTTTAATAAAATTCAGCATCTATGATGTAAACAAAAAAGGGAAATTGACACCTTTAATGCAGATTATCATGATCATTTATATTCCACTAGGATTTTCCAATCTTGATATAGATTGATAGGTAATAGAGGTTTCAATGTTTCTTTTATTTTTCTCACTTGTTGCATGAGCTTAACTGCAGGTATTGATGCAGGATTTTATATTTACCAACTTTTTTCCAATAGAAGCAATTGACTACCCTGCTAGGAATACTTTAGAGGGTTGACATCAAGTTTATACCCAAGCGTTAGATTTTGTCTGTTCTTTTGTACCTTCTCCACTTTGGGTTGTGTCCTATAATCAACCCTATATATTATTCACCATATTCATATTTCAGAGTGAACAATAGTTGGACATAGATGGAGCATTATTGTTTTGACCTAAATCTTGAGTTGTTTTATGTTTTGCAACAATTTCACGAGGAAGAAAAAATTATGCCCATTCTCACTGGATATAAGATCAATAACTGTACCTTGAGAAATGCACATGTGAAACAGAGAAATAAAGGTTGAGTGGAAAGCCTTGTTTAAATGAGTAAATTTGTTTGTGGAGCTATTCATTTAATATATTCCTAGCAACTCTTTAAGGCTAAATGGTTATAGTTTTAATCTTTGCAATTAGGTCTGTTGCCATACTGTAGAACAAGTTGGCTGATTGCTTAGCAAAAGTGATGAACTAATTATGGTAACCATATTATGTGTAGTTCTGGCATTATAGGATGTTCTATTTTGATATTTGTTCATTTTAACATATGATCTTCACAGATGCCATGATTCATTATGCAATGGTCTCTTTCTGCGCAATGATGGTGGTAGTAATAATGCCAGGATATGTTTAAACATGATACCGTAGCTTTCAGCCTTTTTGTTGAACTTTGTGAATCCTTCTTTAAGTATATAATTTACTAGTTTATTTTGACATTAGCTCATTGCGAATGTCAACCTTCGAAGTAGATCATGGTCTATTTCAGGTAGATTAAATAGAAACTTCTTGTGCTCTTTGCCTATATTTTCTGCCAGGTGTTTCTTTTCCTACAGGTATGCTGTAGGATCTCTACATTCGAATCAAGAGAACAATATTAGTCCTGTGGTTGATTTGTGGAACTTCTTTTGACTGGAAAACAAGATGGGATCGATAATTATTATTTTTGGTATGCTAACCCTAGAAATAATAGCGTTGATTATGCCCTGTTATTTTCCACTGCAGAAGAAGTATGAGGATATTCCAGTACTGGGACAAAGACAATCAGAATGATGTTTCAAGCTGCAGTTCCTTTTCCACAATCTTCAAGCTTATGTGTACTTGAGCTTCCTAGAACATCTTATCTTGGTCTTTCGATAACATGCCATAAGCTGTTCACTGTTACTATCAATTTTTTTGAAGGCAGCTCGGTGATTGTTCTTTTGAGCTGCAAACTGCCACACTATTTTTCTTCTGCGCCAATGTGATCTTAATGACTTTTTTCTTTCGTTTTTGGATGAGAACTGATTTGAAAGCTTGCACAGACTTTGCTTCGAGGTTGCAAGGTAGGTGATTCACCCCCTAAAGTTCTCTATAGGGAATGTTTTGTTGTTTGAGGAGGATAATGATTTCAATGCCATCTCACCTCTATTCTCCGTCATACACTGTACTGTGCCATTGAGCTTTGATGAGTTTTAGCAAGCATGATTCTTGAAGCACATCGGCATTCGTGACATGGCCTGTATCTTATGAATGTGCTTCTCATCAAAGGTTCATGCAGCGGGATTACTTTTCCTCCGCCCACCCGCCGATGGCAGCCGAGGAGCTTCGGGGAAGAACGCCCACAGTACGCGTCTACTTATAGCAGTGGCACCACCGACCACCCACGCGTTCTCACGTGATGCTAAATGACGGTTGACTTTCCCCGAGTTGGCGTACATTTAGCTGTGTCCTTGGAGCAGCGTGACCGGCCGATGTCGCCGCACCGACGCGTTAGGGTTATTTTACTTGAAGTGAAAGGACATCCTTACCCCCATTTGACACGGTTCCGTTTGGCGCCTCATTGGGCAGAAGAACTCTTACCATTATAAGGGCAGTTCGGGTAGAGTTCCCGTCTCTCGTGAGCCCCACCTCTGCCGTCCTCCCTCAAGAGATGCCTTTTAAGATGGCGCGAGAGCATGCGACTAAGATGGCGGAGCGCAGTGGCGAGCAGCGAGAATTGACCAGCCAATTGGGAACTAGTTTGGATCGTCTGCTTCAATGGCGTCGCCAATCCCCTGCTTCCTCCTCCTCTTCTTTTTCCTCTTCTCAGGTGCGTATCTGATCCATCCCTCTCTTCCCATCTCTCGTATATTTCCTTATATATATCCGAGTAACACCATATCATCTAGACCCATTTTTTGGCCTTTAGCATTCAGTGAACTCAGTATTCTTTCTTCTTCTTCTTCTTGTTTTATTTTATACACCATCACCCTTTCAACTCAGCTTTCGCTTCCCAGCAATCCATGGTTCTCCTCTTCTTATAGAATGAAACAGAAGCAACAATTACAATGAGAAGCTCAATACCTCCCCCTCCTGTTCTTGCCATGAACAATCACATTTCCTATAGAATTCTGCATATCTTGTGATCTGTTCTCAAATCCACCTCCCTATCGCACATTTTTTCGTCAGTTTTGGTGCTAAACTAAGAGATCAGCTTAGCCGTGAAGCAGACACAACCACATGGCTCCAAGCGTGGACCAGCTTGGCCAACGTCCTTCAATGCATATTCAATGCCTGTTGTCCCCTCTCCGTAGATCCATAATATATGTACCTCAACCTCATTGCGGCAGTTAAACGGTATTAGTTGCAGATCGAGTTCAGCACTAAAATGTATGTGGTGGTCCTCATTGCCACCGCCACCGTCACATGATCGTGCGGATATGGTTTCCTTCTCTCTCTGGTTTGTCATCGATTCATGGAGACAGCTTCTTAGATCAGCCTTCATCTTTGCAGGAAGTGAGGCGCTCACGGTGGGTGTCAACTACGGGCAGATCGCCAACGATCTGCCGTCTCCCACCCGCGTCGCCGGCCTGCTTCGTTCCCTCAACATCAGCAGAGTAAAGCTCTACGACGCTGACCGGAACGTTCTTACTGCCTTCCACGACACTGATGCGGAGTTTGTGATAGGAATCGGCAACGAGAATGTGTCGACGATGACTGACCCAGGCAAAGCCCTGGCATGGCTGCAACTTCACGTCCTGCCTTACCTTCCTTACACCAACATCACCTGCGTTACCGTCGGGAACGAAGTGTTCAAAGGCAACGACACCCTGCTCATGTCGAATCTTCTCCCGGCCATGCAGTCGGTCCACCAAGCTCTGGTCTCCCTCGGCCTTGATAAGAAGGTGACCGTCGCCAGTGCTCATTCCATCGACATGTTGGCCAGCTCCTACCCTCCTTCCGCCGGCTCCTTCCGCCAGGATCTCTCTGCGTACATCCAACCCATCCTCGGCTTCCACTCCATCACCAACTCGCCCTTCCTCGTCAATGCCTACCCCTTCTTCGCCTACAAGGAAAACCCGAGCACGATCTCGCTGGACTACGTCCTGTTCGAGCCCAACTCGGGAGTCACCGATCCCAACACCAACCTCAACTACGATAACATGCTGTATGCTCAGATCGATGCGGTTTATTCCGCCATGAGAGCGTGGGGGCACACCGACATCGAGGTCAGGATTTCCGAGACCGGGTGGCCGTCCAGGGGCGACGACGATGAGGTCGGAGCGACGCCGGAAAACGCCGCCAAGTACAATGGGAATTTGCTGCAGAGGATAGAGATGAATCAAGGCACTCCTCTGAAGCCTACGGTTCCTGTGGATGTCTACGTCTTCGCACTGTTCAATGAGAATTTGAAGCCCGGACCGACCTCGGAGAGGAATTATGGCCTCTTTTATCCCGACGGCACGCCTGTTTACAACGTTGGCTTGCGCGGCCATCTTCCGTCCATCGTCTTCTCTTCCAGCTCGCTGGTGAGCATGCGTGCTATCCACCTTTTGGTTTGATGGTAAGAAGACGCGGAAGTCAATGCTACATACATTCTTGATCTCTTGCAGATGATGCCCGCTTTGAGCATTGTGATACTCGCGGTGGCAGCTTCGATCTTAACCTGAAACCCACTTCTACAACTGACGGGCGAAGTGGATGTGGAGATGGTAGTCGAGCATCTCGCCATCCACTGAATCCACCGGACCGATGATGCAAGGTAATTATTGCCTGAGTTCATCATTGCGTCTCTTCTCCTCGGTTGATTTGGTGTCTTCCATGGCTTCGTGGCCTAACCAAAACTCTTGTGCAGGTTCAGAATCCCTTCCACGCTGCATTTGTCTGTGTTCAGCCGTTCCGAGGGATAACAGTAGCCACAATTTACTGGGAAGAAGGAGAATTCCAACCAAGATTCTTTTTCGGCATCAACAACAACAACAAGAACATATAGAATCTGTTGCTCTTTTGTTCTGATAAGAATAAGAACAGCATGTTGAATCAAGCTCTGCAAGAAAGACTACCCAGTGACTGAGCTCAATTTGCTTGTTGATTCATGTCAATTTGGATTGTCTTGTGTGATAGAACTGAACAGGACCTACTGAGATGATCAACTATTGCAGTGGACAACATGAACAGGACCTACTGATCCACGATTGGAATCCCAAGTCACTGCAGCACTTTTGTCTCACCACACGACAGTTTGGGATTAGAAATAGCAGGAAGATGCGATGCTAACTTGTTATCATGAAACTAACATGACACAGATTTCTCATGTTCATCAGCATGAATTACTAGGAAGTCCAAAAGCTGTTTAATAGAGTGATCAATTGATGATGGGTTTTCTTTGCCTTCTCTGGTCGAGGAAAGAGAAGAAAAGAGAAAGAGAACCCCTTTGATGATATATATATATAGATATATATATATGTACATGCATCAACCTTCAGCTAGATAACCGAGGAGCTCTGTTCTTAGCAGAGATCATTCCCTTCCGGTATGCTTTCCAGGGTAGGCCTCCACTCCATGGCCCTCTCTTTCTCGCTTGCGCCGCCTCTGCTTTGCTGCTCTCTTCGGAGAAGAGACATCATGTCATCAAGGGAGACCCCTCCTTTCCTCACCATCTCCTTCAGCTCTTGCTTGGACACCACCAGCTTGATTCTGACGAGGCCCTCTCCTGCACTGGTCTCTGCCACCGGCTTCTTGGGAGGGAGGAGATAGTACAGCTGCCCATGTCTCATACGCTTCTCCGGATCCAGGCAGGCGATCACCGGAAGTGCATCGGAGATTGCGTGCCCAGGGAACTCGTTCAGCACCTGTTGCACCTTGAGAGGTGAAGGGTATCGAAGAACCTCCCCATCCATCCTCATTATCTCGATCACCTTCTTCTCCTGAAGAATCAAGCAATTCCCCATGCCAACACTGCTGTTCAGCCTTATCGGGATCAAAGGCGGAGGCTGGAAAGGAGGGAGGGAGTCTCCATATTTAAAAGGTGAAGCTTGGAAGAACGACCCTCTCTTGGCAAGATATTGCTTGGATGCCATGGACAGACCTCCTCACTTTGATACCACCAATCAAAGTTGTTTGCTGGCAAGATGAAACCTGAGATCAATGGACTCCGTTGGTGGGTCGATCTCCTGCACTTCCAGAGAATCTGAAGACTAATGCACCAGCGAGTGGAGGAGCTGCCATCAACTCCCCATTAGCTTTTAGTGGTGAGGATGGTTGAAGCCCAGAGGCACCACTCAACGCATGGCTAGTGGTTTGACCACAAGGTGCCAGGGCTTACCAGTTAACCCTGACGTTGACTTCCAGGATCATCCATCCATGAACATGGTTTTAACTCCTTGAGAGTGAAATGGCATCATGAGATCAGTAGATGGCCAACGACAAACTGACATGATCGATCCATGGTGGCTGCAAGAAACGCGTGATTCAAATGGGTGGTAGGATTGCGCTGTCAACACGGCTCCTGGTGGAACATGCAAACGATTCCCTCGTGCTTCCGTTCATTGAACGTTACATACCCTTCTCCCTCGGCCATTCCAAGGCCTGGCATGGCCATCAGTTATTGGCCTTCGTGTTCCGGGAAAGAACAGCGTCGGTGGTCCATCTCCACATCGCCATGCCCTGAACAAGGAAGAAGAAGAAGAAGGAGATCTATGTTTTCTTTGGTCCTGTCACCATCTTTAGTACTTGTTCTGTCTTCATCTGAGTCAAGAGAAATCAACAGTTGGAATTCGCTTGCTTGTCTTGCAATTTTGAGAGATAGAGAGAGAGAGAGAGCGAGAGAAGGGGGAGCAGTCTACATCATTCATCGGACCCACTACGAGCTCCTCCTCCCCACCAACGTTTGTCCCCGCCGCCCACCACTTGAGGTGACGATGGCGATGACGCTGGTTCGACGTCTTCGACCTCTACCGCTGCATCTAGGGCAATAAAAGACTTACATTTCGCAGAGAGTAAGCATTAAGCAAGAGCTGCAGGAAGTGGCGTCACCGGTGGCGCTGCCCGGCTTCACCTGCAGGAATTGGGGCGGCGCCGCCTGAGCGAGCTTCCCATGTCTCCGTTACTTCCCTCCAAGCATCCAAACTTACATTGTTATCTTTCTATTTTCCTAAAATATATATATATAATAAGAATAATAAATTAATGTATATATATCTTTATTATGTGATCACAGTGCGTTGATTGAAGCAAATGCATGGCTCAGATTTCGCCACACCGAACATGGCCCGCACAGCATGATTGGTTGCCGGGACACGAGATGAGACAAGAATGCAAACGATGAGATGTTTTGACCGTTGCAAACTCGTTATGAGGAGAGCCACACCGCTCGTAACCGTTACATTTCAAACACACGATTGCAACCGAGAGGAAGACGAAGAAGTTACAGAGATAGAAGGGAATGGGTTGCATCTCCTCCAAACCACTCGCCGAAGACGATCTCGACCCCGGGATCTTCATCTCCGACGGCGTCGGATTGGCCAGCGAGTGCCCCAACCACGTCGTCTTGCTCACCTCCACCACCTACGGCGTCCTAAACCTCGACCGTAGTGAACCTCACGGGAAGAAGTGCGACGCCGAAGAAGCAGAGGAAGTCATCAAGAGGGAATGCAGGAGATCTCCTCGTGCTGATCTCACCATCGATCGATTCGATAAGAGCGTCGCGAAGGAAGTGCCCTCGGAGGTCATCGATGCACGGGAACTCATGGAGGACCTAGTCGACGAGACGCCGTTCTGGACACCGCTAAAGAAGCCCGCGAAACTCCATGCTTCGAAGGTCTCGGCGTCGCCCAAGAAGCAGATAAGGAGAGCGTTAGGGAAGGAGAACGCGCCGCAGCGGCGGGATCCTAAAAGCGGGGATCTTGACAAGAATCGGATACTGAGGCCCTTCAGTTCTTCGGACAACGGGAAGCGGATCGGATTAGCAGCGCAGACTCCGTGCAAGAACAGTCTCACTGATGCCGGCAAGGCATCCGGGAGAGATTCTAGGGGGTCTGCGTCGAGGAGGAGTCTGAGCCCTTTCTTTGATCCAGAGCTCGTTGCGTCCCTGGAGAGGGAATACTTTCAGGAAGGGGAGCAGATAAAAAAGATGGTTCTTTTATCTCCTAGAAACCGAAAAGCCCATGATCCCAGTTTCCTGCTTCGGTCCTACCAGGAGAAGTGCCCTCCGGGAGGACAGAACACGGTGGTTCTGTACACGACGACGCTGCGGGGGATAAGGAAGACGTTCGAGGACTGCAATGCCGTCAGATCCACGCTAGAGTCCTACCATGTCCGAATCATGGAGAGGGATATCTCCATGGACTCGGGATACCGAGAGGAACTGAGGTCGCTAATGGGATCAAAGGAAGTCAAGGTCCCTGCAGCTTTCGTCAGGGGGAGGCTCATCGGCGGCGCCGAGGAGGTGCTGAGGTTGGAAGACGAAGGGAAACTGGAGCTGCTTCTGGAGGGGATTCCAAGGGCGGCGTCATCCTGCGAGGGCTGCGCTGGGTTGAGGTTCATCATGTGTATGGATTGCAGTGGCAGCTGCAAGGTGTTGGATGAAGAGCAGAAGAAGATGGTGAAGTGTGGAGTCTGTAACGAGAATGGTCTAATTCACTGCCCCATATGTTGCTGAGCAAACTGTCCTCCTTTCCTGCAACTCTGTAAGTGTTGGCCACTCCACTCCTCCATACCAACACTTGCATCCTCCATTGATCGTTCCAATTTATTTTCTTGTATTATTTGTGCTTATTCGACTGGAGCTCATCACAATGCTATTAGAATGTATCTCTCTGTTGCATGTTGTATGTGATTAAAGGGATTCTCTACTCACAAAATATGGTCTTTGGTTCCTCGAATGTTCTTTCTGCTACTGGTTTTTGTCTTTGGAGATGATGATGATGATGTATTGTCAGCGGCATCGGAGCCGTTTAGCAAAAGACGACCCGGCCCAGTTCTTGAATAGATCTCGGATCCGAACCCGAAACGACCCCCCTTATCCGGCCCGCTGACAATCACGCACGACTATTAAAGTTTGTGGAGCGACGTATGGGCTTCGGAGTTGCTTTAAGAAAAAACGACCCGGCCCGGTTCTTTTGTAACTTCAGGATCCGAACCCGAAACGTTCCGCTCCGAGTAAACGCAAAACGCGGACGCGGTGATAAACGCCTCCGGCGACGGGCGCACCTTCCGGTACTCTTTCGTCCCGATTCGTATCTCCTTGCGAGGACTCCATCGATGGCGGTCCGGGCGAGCGTCGCCTGCTTTCCGGTGGACTCCGAAGCCCTGGAGACGTGCGGCATCCCGTGGGGGATCGCCGTCACGCCCTTCTCCGCGGTGGACGAGCGCGGGAACCTGCCGGCTCGGGGCTCCGAGGGCCACCTCCTTCCCCGGTGCGACAACTGCTGGGCCTACTTTAACACTTACTGCGAGCTCGACCAGTGGACGTGGAGCTGCGCCATCTGCGGCTCCCTCAACGGGCTCACCTCCCACGCCGTCTCTCGCTACTCCCAGCCGGAGTCCTGCCCCGACCTGTCTTCTTCTTTCGTGGATCTCGAGATCCCCGGTGGGTTCTTCCGTTTCTTGAGATTTCTAGGGTTTCTTTATTCATTTACTTATAGCACGGTGGGTTCGTTCGTTTCTTGAGATTTCTAGGGTTTCTTTATCTATTTACTTTTATTCCTATGACGAAAGAAAATTTTTGGATGCGTAGGGGATGGATCCGAGGAAGGGATGACGCAAGCTCGGCCGGTCTATGTTGCAGCAGTAGATTTGTGTTGTAAGATACGAGACTCCTTATGATTTATGGATTTTGATTTCATCATTTGCGTACAGGTTTAACTGTTCATTCTTTGAGAAGTGTATTGTGTTTTTCATACTGTAATCATACGAAATGAAAAGATAGAAAAATAACATTCTTGTTTTGCCCTATATAATTTCGTAGTTCATATTGCCTCTGCATATTGATCTTTAGAATAAGTTTATTCAACTAGATTTTTCTGAAGAGCAAAGGATCACCATCAAGTGATTCATCACATTGCACTCAGATGTGATAAGGGTTCTTGCAATGTGTTGGATTTTCTGTGGGTTAAGAAGTTGGTGTAGAATGATCGGAGAAGAGTATTAAACGTGTTTTGTAGTTTTATAACGCCAGGCAACTTTGTCAGCCTTTGAGCTTATTCACCATATTATCTATAGCATAAATATTCTTTTCTTTAATTGTGACATGATAGTTCAAAGATCCACTTGCCTACTTTGCATGCAAATCTTAGTTATAATATGACTAATACATTTGATGCGCTTATTATGTTACTATTGTACGATTATTATAGCCCATTTTTGGCATTAAGAATTGCTTTGATTTTTTTATTGATGAAGCATTCCATTATTTCTGTCATTTATTTCTTGAGTTGATTTGCTAAAATGTATCTATAGTGTACTACACGGAAAGATCTGCTTCTTCATACCCACTTAGTATCTAGATCACTTGCTTGACATTTTCAACTCTGCAGCTTCTGAAGAGTTCTTGGAACTCGTCAAAAGTGCTCTTCTGGCAGCTCTTGAAGGTGAGGGATCTGGAATCTGGTAAATTGTGTTATACCCTTGAGGTTACATACTTGTCGCCTAGCTTCAATAAATATTTTTCTGAATGTCCTGACCTATCGATCGTATATTTGCAGCTCTGGCTCCGGGGTCTTTGTTTGGGCTTGTTACGTTCAGTCACAAGATTGGCTTGTATGATGTTCAAGGTCCTATACCGGTTGTTAAAAATGTCTTTATCCTTCCTGAATCAGATGGTCAATTACCAGTTTCCCTTGAAGATGTCATGCCACTGCTTGCATTTCTGGCTCCTGTATGGTTCTAAGTTCTATCAAGTGAAGCATCTTCTTATGAAATCATTAAATTTCCCTGCTATTCAGAATGTTTTTGTATTGTGCGCATGCTTGAGGCCTGAGCTTAGATTTTACCATTAACAGGTCGAAAGTTGTAAGGATCAGATTGCTACGGCTCTTGACACTCTAAAACCTACAACTTCATGGGAAAGATCCACACCTACAGTACAAGGTTGGGATGGCATGTTGTTAGGTGGCCGGGGCTTTGGATCAGCAATGGAAGCTCTTGTTAGTTATCTGAGTTCAGATTATGGCAATACATTTGCACTCGGTATAATAAATCCATACTACATAATGCTAGCTTCAACCTAATCTGTCTAGAATATTTTAGAATGAGATTCTAGGTTGTGGTCTATGCCATACACCTTTTTGCCCTTGTGTCCGGGTTGACATATTAATGGAAGTGTTTTTGTTCAATGAATAACAGCTAGGGTATTTACCTTTCTTTCTGGCCCCCCTGATTATGGAGCTGGGCAATTAGACACAAGTAGGTATGGTGAGCAATATGCAAGCAAAGGGGAGGATGCGGATCTTGCGTTGCTACCTGAACAGACACCATTTTACAAAGATTTGGTAAGTTGACTTAATATATTATTGATAGCTTTGGAACCACATGTTTGAAAATGTAATCCTGATCAACATGGTTAGGCTGTTGTCGCTGTTCAAGCAGGTGTTTCTGTGGACATATTTGCTGTCACCAATGAATATACAGATTTGGCATCTTTAAAGTTTCTAAGTATTAATAGTGGTGGCTCCTTGTTTCTATATGCGAATACAGATGATTCCACACTTCCTCAGGATATGTAAGTAAACCATGGATCCTATTCTAACCATGGAATGCTCTTAGCTTAAAATTGCAAATTATTTGGGTAATCATAATGGGCTATTTTTTTAACCGTAGATTAATAGACCGTCTAGTATTATCAAGTAATGCTCTTAGCTTTTGCAATATTCAGTTAGCCATTTGTAAATGAGCAATAGTAGCAAAAGTTTGGATTTGATCAGAAGAGCAGTGTTAAACATTAACTTGTGGACAATCAAGTGATAAATCACTATCCATCTACTATGTCACAATGTTTCATTAATGACATTTAAGGCAAGCTTTCATTTTGACTGACCCACTACATGTTTTTAAAAGCTTATTGTTTGTGTTCATGCAAACTGTAGTCTTTAGTTCAGACAGCCTGCTAAACATCTTTATTTGTAGACATGATCCTGTAGTTTTTTTTCCCTTTTCCTTATATTTTTTGTTAGAAACAGGATGCCTGATTATAAGTTTATGCCTCTTACAGTTACCGTATGTTGAGTCGTCCATATGCTTTTGGTTGTCTACTGCGGTTGAGAACATCGTCTGAGTTCAAAACTGGAAATTCTGTACGCATTTTATGTTAATGCTCTATATTTTAAAATTTGTGATGTACTTCAGTTTTCTCTCATTTTTGCATTTGATATGTTTTTTTGACTTTTTACAGTATGGCCATTTCTTCCCGGACCCTCAATATGAGAATGTTCAGCACATTATTTGCTGTAATTCGTTTGCTACATATACTTACGATTTTGAGTTTGCAAATAATGATGTTTTTTCCAGGTAAAATTTACCAGCTGCAGCAGTTTCTACAAGCATCTTGTCATGCATACCTATCTATACATATTTCTTTGACCTATGGTCAAGTCAATTACTTGCCATTTTCTTCAATTATGAAAGTTTGTAAAAGAATTAAAAATATGGCAGTTGGGAAAGGGGCTTTTAGTCCTATTTATTATTGCTCATATCTTTCTTGATGAGCCAATGGTTGTACACATTGTTGAAGGCATTTGTTATCTGGTACAATTTCTTTGGATAGATTGGTCTTTGCATTTTGTGATTACAAAGGAATGCTGTTTGATGACATCACAAATTCATACTAGTTCTCATCTCAACACTTGCAAAATAACGAAAATTTTTGAGTTAGCAAATTCTTGTTTGCTAGCTGCTTTGGAGCTTCATGGTTTGTTTAGATGCATTCTTGAATTAAATGCACAAAGTAGAAGAAAAAGAAAGAAACTGTAAGTTGTTTGTTGTTCCTTAACCAGGAGCTAATGTCCCTACAATCATCTCCATCATAATCTGAGAGACAAATAGGGGAAATAAGTAGATGAAGGTTTAGGGGAAATAATCATGCAAACAACCATAATTAATCTAACTGTAGGTCTTTTGAAGGTTCCTATAGATAGATTTCAAATTCCAGATTCATATTACAAGTATTTTGCTTTTTATTTCCTGAGAGGTGGATTATAATGTCTTATACCATCTTGAGGTTGGTTAGGGTCATGATGTCAAAAAGCTTCTTCAGAAATCATGTCGTTTATATGGCTGCATAACTCCAATTTCTTGTGTATGAAATTTCCTATTACTACTATTTTTGTGCAGATCAAATTTCTAATGATGTAATACACCTGGCTATTTGTAGCAGGCACAGAGATCCTCTTGTAATCCAGATTGCTTTCCAGTATTCAATTGTTGTGCCTAATGAGATGCAAAATGATGCTGGTCTGGTTTCTGCTGCTAGGTATGATCAATAAACATCCTTGCTGTTTATTTTGTCCAATAACATCATTGCTAGGTATGATCTGTATACATGAGAAGTCTAATTTGGTATTTTCTTTCCTTGAGAAACATGATTATGTAAACTATGGCTCCATCATTATATGAATTGTGTCCACTTGCATGACATGTAATGTAGCCATGTTCAAGTTGGACACTAATTGAACTGCATCAAATGTCAAATGATTACAAGATATTATAAGTAGACCATTTTGTTTTAAGACCCATGAAAGTGCATATTAAAATCTGTAATTTTGAAGCATTAACATGCTAGTTATCATGTCACTGAACAAGAAACCTGGATAAGCACCTGAAAGAGGTTCACAATTGTTGAAGCCTGTATACCTTTACTGTTGCACTATGAAATAGGTTCTTTGTGCCTCTTGAATGTCACCTAATGCTTAGTATCATACTAAGATGGCCATTTGTCAATTTCTGTGGATCCAGGTATTCCTTGAAGAGGCGTTTAAGAGTAAGAACATTGCAGTTCACTACAGCTCGAAGCATAAATGACCTTTATGACAGTGTTGATCCGGAAGTAGTCTTATCTATCCTTGTTCACAAGGTAAATAGTATGGAATCATCTCTTAAAATCTCTTCATTATGCTTTTGTCAAATTAGAATCGCCCACATGTTATAGTGACTTTGTTATCTGTTTTGCAACTAAGCTACCAAAAATGGGCAAACCAAAAACTCTTAACTTAATTTTGTATTGCATCTATTCATTTTAATCAGATCCAGATTGATTTAACTTGTCTAGAATCAATAGTGTGACAAAAGTTGTGCCTCGAACAAGAATAAATCTGCATTGCAACTTGTTAGAGTTATGCCTCTAATGGAAACAATTTTGATTCAAGTGCTGTAGAAACCTGTTCAAGAGATTAAATATACTAGATCAGAATAATTTTATCACTGAAAAGAATTAGAAAAGATAGAAGAAAGCAATGAGCACTTTAGCACATCTTTGGGGCTCACATGCTCTCTAATACTTTTATCAACTATCCCTAGCATAGCTTTGGAAATACCATGAAGGTTCAAAAATTTTATAGTCCTCGGTAAATTTTGTAATCAACTGGTCACTATTGAGCAGGAGGGCCAAGCCTCATTCTTGATCAATATCAACTGCTGATAATTCCAAAATAAGACTTCTCAGTTCTTCTCTTATTGAGGAAAAGTCAGGTGTTGATTGTTGTGACTCTTCTAAGTCCAGTCAGCAGATGCAGGAGAGATGGGATGTAGGTCATGCATCGTTGGTGCGATGTGGAGGGGGAGTGTAGAGGGCCATAGTTTGTTGCTTGACAAGTACTGCAGGAATGGAAGGTTGTATCTTAATGCTGTTTTGGCTAGTCCTGCATATATATGCCTTGCAACCTTTAGCAAAATATTTTCTGCATTGCTCTTTGGCTGACTAATGAAGTCTTAACACTTTTATCGTCCATCCTTTGAGGGCAATCAACTATTTGTTATAATTGTAGTCTATCCAGTTGATTATGTGTTTTTGGGTACAAATTTTGTTGATATCTCTATTTGATTTCCAGTCCATTTCAGCTAATGCAATTTAATATAAAGTTGCTTTACTGATATTAATGTTTTAATTTTCCTTTTATTCAGGTTATTTTAGCTTCCTTGGAGCAAGGAGTGAGGGAAGGAAGATTGCTGATCCATGATTGGCTAGTCATTCTTTTATCTCAATATCATGATGTATACAAGCTAGTCCAGTATGAAAATGGGCGCTCAACTTCCAATATTGATGTTGCCTTCACCCAGTGTCCCCAGCTGCAGTCACTGCCTCGGCTTGTATTTGCTTTGCTTAGGAGTCCTCTCCTCCGTTTCCACGAAGAGGGTGTACATCCAGATTATCGGATATATTTACAATGCCTTTTTAGGTACCTCTTACTTGTGTGCTTCCAGTTGAACCCTCTATTAAGGCTTTAGTTGATGCCTTCCAACCGTAACATTTCTCTTTAGCACCAATGTATAGGGAAATATTTGTTGAGGATTGGTGGAATTTAGTGCTGATACTAGTTTTTCTAAGATTTTAGTATGCTATTACATGATTCTATAGAAGCCAATAGTACTTAGTGGCCAATTTGTTAAGTTCAAATCGATCTCTATCTGTTCCATTTTATCAATGCATTTGGAATTTCTTGTAGCTGTTTCATGCATTATTGTTGTCTTTACAGAAGATCCAGCATAATCCAAGAAAAACTTACTTGGTATGTGTTTTGGTGTCACAGTTCGCTGGGGCCATCATCGCTTCAATGTGCCATTTATCCAGTTTTGACTTCATATGCAACACCAGACAAACAAGCTTATCCACGCCATTCATTGAGTCGTTCTGCTCTTGTCAAAAGCGGAAGTCCGATATTTTTTCTTGATGCCTTCACAAATCTTATCGTATATTATTCGTCAACAGCTGATTCTTCACTTCCCTTTCCTCCACCACATGATTGTAAGCAGTAATTTCTCTCTTGACTGTTGTAGTGGTTCATTTCTTAATTTATAAGATGGTTATGGCTCTAATTTTTAAGGAAAACCCTATACCTGTCTGTTTTTCTGAGACAATTTTGTGCTGCAGGTCTTCTGCGTACCACGATCAATAGATTAAAGCAAGAGAGAAGTATAACACCAAAGTTGATGTTTATCCGGGGTGGGCACGATGATGCCACGGCCTTTGAGAACTACCTTATGGAAGACAAGGATGTCGACGGAACTGGAATTCCCAGCGTCACAGGATTTGTCACCTTCCTCGAAGAGATTGCAAGTGATGTATCAGAAAACATCAAGTAACAATGGAGTTCATCCACCGACATGCTAGCTGGAGTTACGGTCAGAACCTGGATCGAAATAAGCATCTTGATTTTCTGTTAAGAATTGGTAGGCTCATGAATTTTTTTGGCGGTAGTCGTGACTTCATGAGAAGCTCAATGGAGTCGTCCATCGAATCATTTGCCATTTCCGAATGATGGCATTTCTTCTTGGAACCAATTTTCTGATTGACTACAAACACTCGTTAAGAAGAATATTTGTTGTGATTGTATGAGACAGCACCATGGATGTTAAAATCGAGGCGATGCCTACCCTCGGGGCGGGTCATAAAATGCGACATTTAGCAGAGTACATCGAGCATGATATCCATTCTTGATTATTCACTTCACGCAGCAGAATGCACCAGTTTGATATCTATTGCATGGATGAATCATTCTGTCAAGGATGAACCGAACCAATCATCAGTGCGAAGAAATATGGTGAGTTAAGACGTCACTCGATGGTCTGTTCTTCATGTGAACTAGACATTTTGCATTGGTGCCATATCTTGTCAACACCGTGTATCGATTGCTTCCATAACCATACTTGACTCTTTGTTTCTCCAAGCATATGCTGCATGCTCAAATCTTTTCTACATGCTGCTCGGTACACTCATGCATCTGCCATTACAATTGCTTCGATCGTGCAGGTATAAATCCATGAACATGCAGCTGTACATCGCAACGAGACGCAGAAGGATCGTGCACTCGTCTAATGCACATCGCTCGCTCGCAAACCCAGCAACGTTTAGAACAGGAAGTTATATTCCGAATAGGTACACAAACATCCATAGCAAATACACATACCGAGACCTACGATCAATCACATGCAAATTAAGAGGGGCAAGAAGAGAGAGAGAGAGAGAGAGAGCAGCTTCACCTCCATGCTTCCACACGCTCGATCTTTGAATTTATTCGACTCACGTTGCTGATCCCGTTCAACTTATCAGCTGGTAAGGAAGCTCGATCGGTAGACTCTCTCTTCGTCTTTCTTCCTTTCTTGTGATTTTGGCTGTTCGACTTGCCTGTCTTCGTATGAACTGACTTAGGAGCACTAGCGACGAATTCGTGGCCGGTAGATGAACCAGCTGCGTTCTCAGAGAAGAAGGCCGCATCGTCATGCGAACTCCGAGCTGCCTCTTCTTCTTCTTCTGTAGCAATTCGAGGGAGACTATCCAAGACAGCCTCCTCGGCAACGTGTGCTCGTTCGGTTGCTTCTTCGCTACAAGCAGCGTGATGCATCTGAGGGCTCTGATGACCATCGTCATCGGAAGGATCTGCGCCACAGACAGCGGCATCCACTACAGCAGATTCTCGTCGTCTATCTTTCAGCGTCCTCAAGATCAGCATCCTCAGAAAATTCATCACTTGGACCGCATGCATCAACGCAGTCAAAGGATCTGCCATCTACAATCGTAAAACAAACACAATGCATTTTAGCTTGCGCTTACAAGCTTCGCTAGACCGATGGAAACAAAGATCCAATTACCTGAGTCATGTTGGGGGCAAACACCGTGGCAACGTTGCGTGCATTCATCTTGTTTTGTTCTTCTTCTTGGACGACATCAGCCATCAAATTGATGGCCCAATCCAAAAGAGCAGCCTCTGTCGGCGGCAGCAACCTGACAAGCCTCCCACAGTCTTCTTCCGTTTGGCATTGCATCACTTGCTCGGATGAAAGCCAGTCGAGCACCCCCGTCGGAAGTTCCCTAAACCAAGCCTGGAGAAGCAACACAGAAGCTAAAATTCCAGTGTCATGGAAACTAGCAGAGATGACCTGATTTCCGACAAAAGGAAAACATTGCTGATAGATCTATGAACACCTAATTAGATGAACATTCTCCTCTTAGAAAGCACAGAAAATGGCGGCATAGGCAGAGGATTAAGGATAAGTTTGTAGGAGGTAATACCTTTATTGAACCTGCCAAACAGTGCACATCGATACCCTCTGGCACTACTCCGTCGTTTAGCTGCTCTCTGAGATGTTCTTCTTGGCTGTTCTCGGCATTGATTCTGAAAATTCCTTCTGCCTGTTCGGTTTCGATTCCATCAAAATTTAGGCATCAAAAGGCATTACAATGTCGATTTAGAGTCATCGAATATACCCGAAGACCTCCTTGCTCATACAGCCGTCTTTGCATCAACAAAAGTATGGTTGGAACACTATTGCCTCTACAATCATATGAACATTGCATAGATTCAGTAGAGACACCGAAGACGGTCGCACTGCATCATGGTTTCCATACAGTTAGCGCGTCACATTGAAAGGGCAAAAGCCAACATCCGAACAAGATCGAGAAGCGAGAATAATTAGGGACATAGCAACATAGATTCTGAGCGATCAAGCCAGCCAAAAGCAATGCAAACATACTCGAGAAGAGATGCCACTAGTTCTTCTTCTGGAGAGAGAAACTTTCTTGCCGAGTGACTAAAAAGGTTGAAGAAGAAACGAAGATCAAGAAATTTGGAACAAAGAAGTTCTAAAGGAGCTTGCAATCACAAAGCATGAGCCTCTCGAATGAATGATAGGCGAGGAGAAACAGAGTTGATGTTGTGTTTTCTACAGCGTCGGGTGTGTTAGATGCACAATAGGTTTGTGGTGAATTGATGAACAAAGAACATGATGTTGTGAATCATGCAATATAGCTTCTGATGATCTCTGTTGATGCGAAGCTCATGAATTTGTGGACAACTCGAGAAACCAACCAAAAGCTCACATTTTTCCGACAAGAAACAAGCACGATCTACGCAGAAGCAGCAAGAAGTTTTGAGACCTTGCGCTGGGGGCTCTGCGGGGAACCTCCGGCTCGAACTCGACGGGCAGCCCGAGGAAGCCATGGAAGCGGTCGAAGGTGACGTGGGTGACGTGCCGCACGTCGGTGGGGCACCCGATGTCCATCGAGCCGAAATCCTCGTCGCCGGCGCCCTCCGTTTTGCACCTCAGCAGTGACTTCCGGAGCACTGTTAGCAGCAATGCCAACACAGACAGTTGCTGTCGTTCGTCCTCCCCTTCGATCCCGACCTCCGCTCCTCCTCCTCCTCCTCCTCCTCCTCCCCTCCTATTCCTTCCCCTCTTCCTCTCTATCGCACCACCGGCACTACTATGCCTCTCCTCCTCCTCCTCCTTCTCTGCACCCTCTCCGCCGCTATTGGAAGGGCTTAAAAGCCCATTGGAGGCATCATTCGGGTCGCAAGAAAGGGTGCGTCTTGGAGACGAAGGGAAATGCGAAGGGGGCTGGAGTACCTCAGCCATGGCTCGGTATTATGGGAAACAGAAGTGGAGGATGTTGGGGTGGGCCAAACAACGTTTACCGAATTAAGAAAAAGGAAAACCAGAAACAAAGATCAGATTTTTAGAACGACGGCTGACTAAAGATTGGGATTTTAGAACAATGGCTGGAAAAGGATTGGATTTTTAGGATATGTGCACTGGTACTCCTCCTCCAGCTGGGAGAAAGAGATGGACTATGGGAGCTGAGGAGTTTTCTGGGATGGAGTTGGATTCAAGGAAGGATTTGGAGTGGTGGGACGTGAGAATCATAACTTTGCTTGTTATTTATTTTCTTCTTCCCTTTCCCGGGCTGGCTTTGCCTTTGCCTTTGGCTTTAGGAGGAGAAAGAGAATGGTGAGTGGAAGGGGATATGGAAAGAAACAATTAAGGGGGGCTTTTGGAGGTGGAAAAGCAAGAGCGGAAGAAGGGCAGGGAATGAACCATCAGCAGTAGATTTGAAGGTTGGAGGGACTCTTCGCTCTTTTCTGGCGTTTATTATTGCAGAGAGAGAGAGAGAGAGAGAGAAGAAGGGAGGATGAAAGGGGGATTTTGGATCTGATGCCTACTTGTTTGTCTAGGAAAATGAATGACATTGAATGCACTACATTTAGCTACTAATTGCTATGTTAGTTCATGGCTTCTGTTGGTGAGCTATGTGAGCTATGACCCAGTTTTTGACTTTTTGATATGATGATGTTGTTGGTTTGAGGTTTGGCCATGAGGATAAGATTATAAGCACCACAGTGTGTCTTCAGGATGAAGTTTACTTTAATGAAAAGGTTTAGAGAGAGAGAGAGAGAGATGTTGTCAAGAACTTGTTCTCTGTGTGATGCACATGCTGAACAGGACACAATCTAAGCAAACAATAGAATGGGCTGCAATTTGCAGCTTAGATTTATCCCACCACGGAATTCCAGATCATCATATTGTGGATTTCTTGGCTTATTAGTTCACCATAAAGGCACGAGTGTTGATGAGATCTGGCAGCATCTCAATTAATGTCGTATTTTATCATCTTGTGGGCTTCGATAAGGTATTCTGCAGGTGCAGTTGCAGAAAGAGGAAGAAGGTGGGGGGGGGAAACACATATGGCCTAACTCTAACAGGCAGCTTAATGATTCAACAGCACAGCTGGGTGGGATGCCAAAGGGGGAGAGGAAAAAGGAGAGAGGCACTCATGGAGCTTTTCTTCTCAGAGGAGATTCCTTGCAAGGGACATTCTCTTCTGTAGTGCTTGGGTAGGTAAGCCACCATTGGAAAGAACAATCAACAGACTTATCTAAAGAGCTTTACTTACTGTTTGATCATTCTATCCCACTCAAGAACAGTTGTGTGATCCTCACGATTCCCTTCTGGCTTGCCATTGTTCTTGCTTCAAGGTCACTTCATTCACTGATCATCCATGATGACAGACTTGCCATTCCCAACATAAACCTTTGATCAAATCATACATGCAGTCAGTGATAGCAGCAGCATGGCAGTAGATCTACAGCTACAGGAGGAGGAAAGAGAAACAGTGGCATGATGATCAGTATATAATGGTTCATAAAAGCATAATGGAAATCATGTCTCGATACCTAAACAAGCTGCACAATCTCTGGATATAAAGATGGGCATTCAACTCCAAACAAGATGTTGAGCTTCCTCCTGCTTCTTCCATTAGAGAAGGGCAACTCCTAACCTTTCCTCCTCTATTGCAGAGCAGAATCTGTGTGTCTGATGCTACAAAACTAATGATGCTGCAAAAGCCAGAAGGGATTAGAAGAGAAGTCACCAAGTTCATGGTGAGAAACAACACATGAATTGGACCTTGATTGCTGCTATCATGGCTGTCAAAGTTGTATCTTTTCTTCTTCCTTTTACTCAGGTCTGCTGGTTCTGCAATTCCAAAGCTGCTTTCATCATCATCATCATCATCTATTTTGCATCATTGTTGGCATCTCACCATGACATTCTAGTCCATTAATTATTCTCACAAGTTATCTGCTTTCATTGGTATGACTATGCAAACCTTTTAGGAGTTGGTTGCTTTGTTACTGTGCAAAGTCATTGAAGTTGAGAATTTACTTTCAATACGAGAAATATTTACACCAATCATAATTCCATACGTTGCGATGCAATCAATATGGGAGTGTACATCATTGTATCTTTTCTCCTCAGCCACCTCCTTGACCACGTCGGATTTCTTGTGCATGATCCCAAACCGAGTCAAACTCCTTTGGCAATCACCATATCGACCACATCAACTCATTAATAAATCACAATATATATATATATATATATATATATATATATATATATATATATATATATATATATATATATATATATCACAGGAATTTAAGGTTTACTGTATCAGATTCATTTTGCACCTTATAAAGAGATATAAAAGAAGGAATAATAATGATAATATAACAGATCTTTTTCTTCTCTCTTGCATTCTTGCAAGCGGGAGTATGACTCTCTGTTGCAACGACAAGAAGAAGTCTACATGGAATTCACAATGGCAGCGCCAATAGCGAAGGCAAGAGAAGTGATGGCGACATGGCGACCATAGCTGCTGCATGCAGCACTGTGGCCGCCATTCCTACCAGCTGCAGCGCCGCCGCTACCTCTGGTTACGGGTGATCGACCACCGATGCCACCGTTGACACCGGGAGAACCGTCTCTCAACTCCCTCACCGCCGCGACTTCCCTTCTTGTGCTCTCCTCCACATGTGTCGCTGCAAGATCCGATAACACCAGAAGAATCAATCACGGAATAAGACCATACAGTTCGTCCATGAGCTTCATCTGAAGCTTCCGGCGTCGTCGCGTACCTGATGCGGTGGCGTTGGTCTGCGAGGAAGCTCGGAGAAGCATGGAGGAGAAGAGGAGCAAAAGCAGCAGAAGAGATCGCGATGCTCTGCTTGGAATCATCTCTAACCAAGAAATAAGAATCGACGTTTGTGTTGTTGATATGCACACCTGAATTTATAGTACGCATTTCGTGCTTCCTACTACTCTTTCTTTGTCCTTTCTTCCCGGCATCTGCCTTTTTTCCCTCTTACGCGGCGGAAGACCGAGTTGACGTTTGTGCTGTTGACGACGGATTCTAAAATGACGTGGCTAATTCTTAGTGGATAAAAATGGTGGCCCCGCAGTTTGAGACGTATTCCAAACCTTTGACCAAGTCAAACACGAGGCGTAGGATACATTAATAAATCTTATAAAATTGAAAGATTTATTGACCAACACGCAATTGAATCCTCATTTATGCGCATTTTTTGGTTGACGAAGTGAATATCTAATTAATTATAAATGTTGTTGTAATTTTGGATAAATAAATTGAAGCTTTCTGATTGAATTAATTTAATTGATTTTTTAGTCATAGCGGTTGAGAGGTTAAACCAATAACAAGTACTGCTCGGTAATCGCCAACTCAGCGGCAGCTGCATGGATTGACACAGTCCGATACAGAAATATAATACGAAATGGTGCTTTGTATGTAATTATTTTATCTCATCACAGAGTCACCGAGGAAGTTTTAATATTATAAAATGATTAATGTTTCAAGATAATATAATAAAATAATATAAAAATTATTAAAAACAGATTATTTTTGTTCATTCTAATGATCGACGAGTAGAATATTGAGATGATTGATATTTCTGTAAATATAAAAACTGTTATATGTTATATGTAATGTGAAAAAAATGTTATGTTAGGATAAAAATAAAATAATATTAGATCAGACATATTTTTTGATTTTATCTTTTTTTCTCTCTTCTTATACTATTTATGTCTTAGAGATCCAATCTATAAACGAGAATAGAGGATGTAGGATAAATTATTAAGAGAGTTTCTCCCGTCAAGAACGTCTCTTAATAAATGTTATCTTAATTTGATTTTTTTTATTAATCAATAATCATAATCAGAATATACTCATATTCATAATATATCTTATCAAATTAAATAGGATCACATAATCTAATATTTTTATGTCGCAAGATATCTGTGTCATCCGGATTACATAATCTAATAATTCTTCTACCACAAATCAGGAACGGATCGGACTTTGATGCCCTCAATAAATCCCTCTTTTGTGTCATCTTCCACATTCCTCTCCTCTTGTCCAATCCAAATCCGTGCTTCCGTCTCCCAGAAAACAAAAGCTTCTGTTGGGTGTCCTTTTCGCCATTGCCGAAAGCCCAAAGGGAGAGCATTGGCCCTCTTCATGCAGACAAATAAGCAGATTAGATCATTTGGGTTCAATCTTATCCAAGAAAACAATTAGTTTCCACTGTTTTCATCAAATATTATAATGAAATCACATGTGATGAAGGCTGTCCTGGTTTTATCCCATATTAAATGGCTAAACTTTGTCTTAGTTGACTTGAAATTTGAGCTCCGACCATCCAACCCCGTCTCCCTTCTCCTTCCTTCATCTCCCCCCATGGCCAGTTCTTGCAGATCTTGCTTGGTTTGGGTCCTCTGCTTCTTCCTCTGCCGTTGTTTGGTGTTCGTGGAGCCTTCCCGCAGAGTCTTCCTGTATCCACAGTCTCAGGAGATATCGTCCATAGTTAGCAAGCAATACAGGACTGCATACCACTTCCAACCACCCAAGAACTGGATCAATGGTATGTCATAGTGTTTAGATTTGATCTTTATGAGTCCTGTGTGATCTTATTCTAGGAATCTTCGTAGAACTTGCAATCGCAGGATAGTTCTATAGCTTATTGATTTCAAGAATCTAGTAATAGGAAGGAAACAAACATGACCTCCATCTCAGATTATGCACAGACTCTTCTTGTTCTTGTTTTCTGATGACTGGAATTACCTTTATAGATAGCTGGATATCGTAGAGTTGTTTATGTCTATCAAACAGGATGGTATGTGGTAATCTATATCAACAGAGCTTGATATTATTGAGATTTGATTCATAGTTATCTAGGTAGTTATCATGATCTAGTAGTTATAGGGTGATTTCAATAACTACCTCAATTATGATCTAGTAGTTATAGGGTAGTTACCATTAGATCCTATAAATAGGATCATAGTTCATGAAGCAAGATATATAGAGAGTGTGTGCACTTAGGAATATCTTGTAAGTGTTCTTGTCAATCCTCCAGTTTTTAATATTATAATAGTATTCTGTTTGGGTTTCAATTTGAACTGGGCATTATGACTTTCAATGGCAATTCCATGTCTCAACCCCTTATCTCTATCTTCTCGGGCAAATATTATGAATTTTGGAGTATCAAGATGAAGACGCTATTCAAGTATCAAGATCTTTGGGACTTAATAGAGAATGAATATGCGGATCCAGATGACGAAATCAGGCTGAGGGAGAATAGAAAGGATTCAAAGGCATTGTTCTTCATTCAATAAATTATACATGAGATAATCTTCTCAAGAATTACAGCAGCGACAACCTCAAAACAAGCTTGGTTGATACTTCAAAATGAATTTCAAGGCTCATCAAGGGTGATTACGGTAAAACTTCAAACCCTTCATCGTGAGTTTGAAATTTTGTTCATGAAAAGTAATGAATCGGTACAAGATTTTCTTTCTGACTGAAATTGTTAGTCAAATGAAATCTTATGGTGAATATCTTCCTGATCATATAATTATTGTAAAAGTTTTGAAAAGTTAAACTCCGAAATTTGATCATGTTATTATCGTAATTGAGGAGTCAAAAGAATATAAAAAATCAACAGAAAGAGGATGTGGCAGAGGAGGATTTCATGGTAGAGGAAATGGAAGAGGAAGAGGAAAAGGATACTTTGATGCGCATGATGAATAAAGGCAATCAAATTATGATTAAAGAAATTACAAGAGTGAAATTCAATGTCACTATTGTAAAAAATTTGATCACATGAAAGTAGATTGCTGGAAAAGAGAAAAGCAAACAAGCTATGTGGAGAAAAATGAAGAAAATAGTAAATTGTTTATGACTCATTCATAAATTCATGATATCTCAAATGATATTTGATTTCTAGATAGTGGATGTTCTAATCATATGTCAGACATAAAATCAATATTTAGTGATATCGATAAAACTCACAAGTTGAAAGTTAGACTTGAAGATAGCAAGTAAATCCAAGTGGAAGGGAAATGAACAATTGAGATGAAGACAAATCAAGGGAAAGTAAAATACCTTGATAATGTTTTCTTTGTTCCTACTTTATCACATAACTTATTAAGTATTGGACAATTGATAGATGATAGATATTCAGTAATATTTGATGATGGTTCATGCACTATTAAAGATAAAAAAATTTGGTTTGATTATAGTAAATGTGTGCATGACGTAAAACAAGATGTTTCCACTTGATGTGTCAAATATTGGAAGGCATATTGGAAGGCATGCACTTGTCGCAAGTCAAAAGAATGAGTCTAATTTATGATATTTAAGATATTGACACTTTATCATTAAGGGTTTAAGGTTGTTAAGTCAAAAAAGAAATGGTTTTCAGATTGCCTAAAATTAATACGCTTAATGTATGTGAAGGATATATTTATGGCAAACAAAGTAAAAAACCATTTCCTATTGGAAAAGTACCGAGAGCATCTAATTGTCTTGAATTAATTCATACTGACTTATGTGAACCTATGAATACAAAATCATTTGGTGAAAATCAATTTTTTTATTGTTTACTGATGATTATAGTTGCATGAGTTGGATATATTTTCTGAAACTAAAATCTGAAACATTTGATAATTTTTGAAAGTTTTAGGCACTTGTAGAAAGGCAAAGTGGTAGATATATAAAGACACTTCGGACAGATAAAGGCAGTGAATTTTTATCTAATGAGTTTAGTTCCTTTTGTGAAGAAAATGATATTCACAGAGAATTGACAACACCATATACACCGGAGCAAAATGGTGTAGCTGAGTGTAAAAATCGGACTATCATTAAAATAGCAAGAAGTTTGCTTAAAGGAAAATAAATTCTAAATCAGTTTTGGGCAGAAGTAGTTGCAACAATAGTTTATTTGTTGAATATTTCACCAACAAAGGCTGTTATAAATCAAACTCCTTTTAAAGCTTGGTATGGTATGAAACCAAGTCTTAGACATCTAAGAATTTTTAGTTGTATTGTTTATGCTTTGATGAATTCACAAAATCATCACAAATTTGATGAAAAATCTGAAAAATATATCTTAATTGGTTATTCCTTACGATCGAAAACATATCGATTATATAACCCTATTAGTGGCAAAGTTATTATTAACAGAAATGTTATGTTTAATGAAAGGACAAGTTAGAATTGGAAGACCAATAAAGGTAGAACACAAATACAGATTCCAACAGAACTAGACATTCCGCAGAATCAAATGATGGACCCTGCTCCAACAAGTTTATCGTCAACCTCACCCAATAGTAGTTCAAATTCTGATTCCTCATATGAAACCCCTCCAAGAAATTTCAGTTCACTAATAGAAATTTATGACTCAACATTTGCTTTGTTTATTTCAGAGCCAACAACTTTTGAGGAAGCCGTTAAAAAAGAGGAACGAAGAAAAACAATGAAGGAGGAAATCAAGTCAATTGAGAAGAATGAAACTTGGGAGCTAATGGATCTACCGAAAGAAAAGAAACCTATTGGGTTAAAATAAGTGTTCAAAACAAAGTTTAAATATAAATTATTTGGTTTTATTGATAGTGATTGGGCAGGAGCTTTATATGATCGAAATAGTACTTCAGGCAATGTTTTTAGCCTCGGATCAAGAGCTATATCTTGAAGTTCTAAAAAGTAAGCAACAACTGCGTTATCGATATCGAAAGCAGAATATGTAGTCCCAACATCAATAACTTGTCAAGCAATATGGCTTAGAAGACTTCTCGAAGATCTTCATCAAGAACAAAAAGAAGCAACGAAAATATTTTGTGACAATAAAGCCACAATTACAATGACGAAGAATCCAACATTTCATAGAAGAACGAAGTATATAGAGATACGCTATCATTTCATTCGAGATCTTGTAGC